GACACCGTAAAGAGTCGCCAGATTTGTCGCTAGTCGCGGTCTGAAAAGTCGCTGAGTTGGCAACACTGCAACTGCGGCGCTGACTCGCTCCGCCATATTTTTTTTTCTTCCCCGGGATGACGGCGGCGGCGGATGACGCATTAATCGCGCGACACAACTAATCGATGATTAAATTCGTTGCCAACGCTTTTAAAAGTCGATTTTTATCGATTTTATCGATTCGTTGTTGCAGCCCTAATTTAAATACAATCTTTATTTTACCCACTCATTGCTAAGACACCTTGTAGACTTTTGCACACTTGTGTTTTATATTGTCTCTTTTTTTTTTTTTTTTGCAGACATGCACAGGCTCTTGCTGCTTTGCAAGCCTATTCCCACTGGCTGGCTCAGTTCTACAGCGAAGTCCACAATCAGAACCAGAGCCAGTTCATCAACCTCATTACTTCTGCTGTAAATGCCAGCAGCCCGCTCATCACAACTAAGGTACTTCCTTCAAAGGTTTTCTTTCCTGTGTGTTTTTATAGCGGTGATGTCTATGGCAATTCTTTAATACAGCTGTAAGGACTTTTTTTCCCTAAAAGCTGTGTCATGAAAGCCTTGAATTATGTAGTATTAGGTTTTTTACTGGGATATTTAGTTTATTAATCTATTTACTTCAACTGACCAAAACTAAACAACTGACTGCTCATTGTACACAAAGGAGCATTAATGTGAATTCTGTTTTTGGGGAGAACTTGCTTATTTAAACCTTTGCTTTAAAGCTTTTATTTTAAATTTCTAGGTCACAAGGGCCAGTCTAAATTTCGATAGAATTAGCGGATAAAAAATATTTTTTTTTTTGTTTAAGACAATAGCAAAAATATAACGTCAACATGTATCAAGTTGAGACGGTGACTTCCTGTTAAAATACTTTGAAGTCATTGGCAGCCTTCAATATCTTTATCTGGTTGAATGAGTCCCATTCATCGTCTTATTTGATTAGGGTGTGTTGGATAAGGGACACATGTAAGGCTATGATCACACTGAAGGTCTTGATGCTTTATTCTAATTGTGTTTGCATAGTTACTCAGACTCCAGTCTGAGCCTTTCACAGCCTGAACGTGGCCCAGTCGTGCAGAGGGACACTGCAGACATAGTGGCGCACTGTTTATGGTACAAATAACAGATGCCAGCATCTCTGTGTAAATAGAAATAGTTGAACAATATTCTAATCACATCGACAAAGAAAAGTAAGAAAACAGAGCTTTTTAACAGCTTGTTTTTGGTGGAGCATTGGGTGCTGTGCTGAGAGGAGTCTGGATATATGGGGGCGAGATGTTATTCATCATGAATATTCAGATTGCAGAAGATACTTTAATGCTGCGTTCACACCGGACGCAGCTGGCGCGACAGAAGCAGCGAGTTGACATGCAAAGTCAATGGTTGACGCACGTCAAGGCGCAGAAAAAAGGTTCCGCAGCGCGTTTTGAGCAGCAGGCGCTAGGGTTGTCAAAAGTATCGATACTAAAAAAAGTATCGATACTCAAAAAAGTATCAAAAGCACTTTTCAGTTTCAGACTGTTTTTTGTAAGAGGTGCCATTGTTATGTGTGCAAAGCATAGCCAAGGAAGGAACACTTAATTTCAGTTTTGTAAGTTTTTTTATCAAGCTTGCTTAATATTGTGCACAGCAAACAACCTCAAAATATTGTTCTTATTGTTTATTGTATTTATTTATTGTATTTTATTTATTAATGAAAATATTTCTGTTGAATTTTGGAGTCTTTGTTTTTATCCTTGTGGTATCAAAAATGGTATCGAATATTTTCCTTAGTATCGGTATCGAGTTGAAAAGTTTAGTATCGTGACAACCCTAGCAGGCGCAGCGCGTCTGAGCAGCTGAAACAGAGCGTCGGATGCGTTTAAGCATCTGACGCGCCGAAAACGCGCTGCTGCTCGAGATGGAAAATTTTAATTTTTGCTGCTCGACGTGCCGCATCAACCAATCAGAGAAGCTGATCTGGGAGCTGGCAGGGAGAGAGACACAGCGCTGATGATACAGAGCGCTATGATCACTCCTCTGAAACAGTTTATTGACGCATAAATTAACTTAAAATGCAGAAATCTGCCCGCAGAATATGTTCGCTTTCATTATCCTGGTGCCTGCAGATCGGATTATTTAGATGAAAAACACCTACCAGCCGCCGCGGTGACCGTTTCATGTTGCCGCATCGAGTTGTTAATGAGGAAGGAAAAATAGTTATTTTTATACGTCCCATTTTCTGGGTTGTTTAGTTTAGTTTTTGTTTTTTAACTTGTGAATGTTACTTGTGAACCAAAGCTTGAGGTTGTTTGTTTTATGATTCTGGATTTCACCTTTGCTGTTGTTTCCTCGTGTTTAATCTACACTGTAGCTCATTGTTTTTGATAAACTTCAGGTTGTAGAACAGGATTGGCTGTTGTTGTTGGCAACCTTAGCGATTAGATTTGGCATTTTAAAAATCTGTCGCTCACAAGTGGAAATGGCAAAGCAATTTTTAAACTGATTCCACTGCGAACAAGAACACAGTAAAATCAGACAAAAATACACAAATTACAGTTTTCCATTCAGTTAAACAATAAAAACCCATCAGCTGTGGAAGGATGTGCAAAGTGGACAGATGTAGTATTAGCTGATCTATTCTGCCTAATTTAGCTCTAACCTCAGTTTAAAGTAGATGATCTCAGTGCTTATGAATCCTACAGGGTGACAGATTCCCAGGACCTGCTGTTTAAAAATAACCAGATTTGAATCAAAATAATCAGATTAAAATTTTTCTTTACCACAGGTACCTGAAAAGTTGCTGCTCTCATCAAGCTGCCTGATGGTTTCCATCACTGCTACGGTGAGGCCGGTGTTTTTGGTCTCTTTACCAGCTGTCCAGAACATCTTCAACCGGATTACTACAGAGAATCAGGCCCAGAGACTTCCCCAAGAGGTGAACTTTGTTACAGCATTTATGAAACGTTAATGTCATTTAACACACCTTTCCTTTCATGTTTGAAAAAATATGCTATGATGTCACATTTCTTTTTTAGGCTTTTGGAGGATACATTTAAGAGTATTTTCAGTAAATAAAGTAAGCGATTTTAATTGTTTTTGTATTTTGTCCAGGCTCACATTCTGGTGTGCAGAGCTCTGTCCAACATGCTGCTGCTTCCATGGCCAAATCTCCCAGAGAGCGAGCAGCAATGGCACACACGCTCCAACAGTCATGCCAGCTTAGTGGCCGCTCTTACACGAGAATATCGTATTTTAAGAGGAACTGTAAACATTAGTCCAAGACAACCGGGTCTGGATAATGGTTGGTATAACGTTGTTCTATTAGTTTTGTTATGAAGTAATACCTGAATCTGAGTAATCTTTTTATCGTTTTCTCCTAACGTGTGTCTCCTCTGCAGTGAAAGCAGTGATTCAGCAGACTCTGCCTGTGCTCAGGGATATAGTAGACAGCATCTCAGGGGAGTCCACCAAATCCCGTCAGATCTGTTACCAGAGTCTGCAGGAGTCGGTCCAAGTGACTCTCAACCTGTTCCCAGTTTTTATTCAGCAGCCAGGTTTGTTGGTCAATCATAGGTTATCTTCACACAGCAACCAGAAGTGCCCTAAATCCAATATTTATTTTCTTTTCTTGCCCATATGCGACCTGTATCTGATCTTTTCTTGAGAGTCTGAATACACAAATCCATTTTTTTCCCCCAATGCAACCCAGGCCAGTTGGCTATATCAGGAGTAACCAATTAAAAATCAGTGGGGTCTGAATAAAGAAAGTCAACAACCAGTAAAGGTCTGGAGACATTTTAATTATAATCTGTTAGTTTAAAAACTATTTATTACTGGACAAAATGAGGTGTGTTTGCATCCATGTTATACATTGACTTCTTAAATAAAAAAAAAAATAAATAAAAATAGAAAATTTTTCCATTTTGAAAAACTAAAGTGTTTTTTGAAGTAGAGAACAACAATTGTTCAGTTCGGTATAAAGACAATTTGCTGATTCACATTCTCATTTTATAAAACACCTGAACTGACCGTGGGTTTTTGGTTGTTTTTTTTCTTTTTTATCACTTAATGAGAGAAGTACACTTGCATGCTTTCTTTTTCTCGTCTTCTCCTTCTTACCCATCGTCCGGCTTGCCACAGGTTTGCCTGCTGTCTAAAAGTAGCGAGAAGCAGCAACCCAGACTGACACAGCTCATTGGCTAATTTGTATCACATGTAGCCTGGTCCCGGATGCTCCGGAGGGCTTTACCATTTTAACAGGAGAAGCAGCGCAAGTGAAGTTAGACACTAAAGTAGGAAAACATGCGGTAATTTATACATTTTTAAAATCAGGTTAGCCACCGGACCGGTCCGGATCAAGACTGCGGTCTGCTAATCCGTGACCCCTGTGCTATGTGATGCTGTGCATATCTGATCATTTCCAATGCAACCTGTTTGCGAACTGTGAGGTCACATTCATCCAACCTGTATGGGGTAATACTCAACAAGAAGAAAACAACAACCATGGCGGTGGATAATGCGGAGAGCAGTCTTTATTTTCAGCCTTCTTGAAAAGATTGCTGTTAATGCACTGACTGAGGTTGGGAAAGAAATGAAAGATTGCTAGATGCACTCCAGTACTACCACCCATGTTTTCTTCAGTAAACACAGACCTCGCTTGCTACTTGTGATGTCATTACATCCTAAACTGCGCATGCGGGACACTGAAGGTGTGGTAATGCAGTTCACACAGGAGGTCACATGCAAGTCGCATATAATTGGAAACGTGAACAACCATGCAGAAGAATCTGATTTCACAAAAAATCAGAATAGAGCATCAATGCCTGCAGTGTGAACATAGCCAGAGTTACTTTTTTATTAATAATGTGGGGCATTTTAGATCAAGTAACAAGATAAGGTTGTATGAAAATAATACTTTTCTAAAAGGAAATGGATAATTTTACTAACCTTTAAAGCCATGTTACTCTTCCTGTTTTTATCATCACTTTTTTGTTGCAGATGTGACAGATGAGGTCCTGGCCTTCTTCCTGACACTCTTTCAAGCATTGCGAGTCCAAATGGGCGTTGCCTTCACAGGGCAGATCATCCACACTTTCCTCAGCATGTTCACAAGGTACAAATCAAAGATTTGCATCAGCTTTTGCTCTAAACGCATTTCCTTTGCTACTACTCTTGAAGGGAAATTGTAATTAATGTGATATAATGTTTTTCCAGGGAGCAACTGGCTGCCAGTATTTTACAAGAAGGTAGCGCCGGATGTAGGGTTGTGCAGAAGTTCCTGAAAATTCTGCAGGTGGTGGTGCAAGAACCGGGTCAGGCTTTCAAGCCCTTCCTGCCCAGCATCCTCTCTTTGTGCATGGAGCAGGTCTACCCAGTTGTGGCAGAGGTCAGTTGGTTATTATGCATATTTTAAAAGCGTCATTTTCTTAATTTTTACCTTCTTTTAAGGTGGAGAACAATGTGGTACAGCTCTTCTTGGTATCAGTCTTTCTTTTTTTTACACCACAGACGGAGCGTCCTGTCGTTTGACAAAACACACTTTCATCTAAACAACAGGAGAAATTAAAAGTAGAGCATTGCAAATACACAGTTTAGAACCACCAGAGGGCGTCATTTGATCTTGGGTTAGATTAGCCTTGAAAATGCCAAACATCTCATTTCAAAAAGCTAAATTCTTTGCTTCTTTTTTTTTTTTGATTTATGAATTCTACATAGAATAAAAATTTGCACAGCAACAGCGACCTCTGATAATTGCAAGTGATAAATGCAATTACTGTATATTTTTGGGGGGTAGTGTTGGCCTAGAGGTTATAGCAGTGTGCTTGTGCTCTGAGAAGGTTGCAAATACCTTTTTGATCCCCATAGCCTCCACTCTGGGCCTCTGAGCAAGACCTTTAACCCCACACTGCTTCCCGGGTGCTGCAGAGTGGCAGCCCACTGCTCCCCAAGGGGATGGGTTATATGCCGAGAATTAATTTTTCCATTGTGAGATCAATAAAGTTCAATTTATCTTTCTAACCTTTCTGAAACGAGCATTATTCTTTTATTTCCCTCTTTATTAGCCTTGCCTTGCTTATAATAGTAATTATTTTTCTATAGCTGTTGCCTCATCCCAGACATTCTCTTTTCGAGAAGACATCTCTGTTCCTAAAAACGCCACTCACTGCATATTCCTTCTTTTTAAGACCATTCACTTTAGTCTGGACAAATGTTAATGCTGCCTTTGTGATAGGAATCAACCATGCAACTTTCATAGTTACTAAATCCCCCCTTCTTCACCTAAACACCTCTTTATTCCTGAACAGATCAAGTCACAGTTGTGTGATTGGCCTATTTTTTTTTTTGTGTTGGTTATAAAGTGGCTGGTGACAGTGGCCTTATTATGCAATATCTGCCTCTAATGATTCGATATAATCTATCAATATGATAAACTTGTTTAAGTTAATTATCAATTATTCAGGACATTATCTTATTTTGTTATTCAAAACATCCATCTGTTATCTGTGCTACAACCCGTTTGTCATTACAGTTAAACAATAACAGCTTAGCGTGCAGCATTTCCTTTTGTTTATGGGGGTGAAAATAATGCCCTCAGTTGTGTTTTATGTTAGAAATATCCCAAAATCAAAGGGGTTTAAGGGACTGGTTTTTAAGATTTGAAGATATTCAGGAAGTAAAATAAACCTAAGTAAACCACTAATGGGTAAAAATACTGCAAATTTCAGACGGAGAGTAAGCTACATTCTTTGTCTACATCCTGACAGTTCTTTAAAATACTGAATCATGTAAAAGTTGTATGGAAGATAACTAGGCTATAAAGAAATCCTTCACCTGGTAATAAATGTATCCTAAACAGATTTTCTGATCGTCTCGCTGAATGTTTTCTCTTTAACAGCGGTCCTCACCAGATGTCAAAGCAGAAATGTTTGAGTTGCTTTACCAAATACTTCACCAAAACTGGAGGTACTTCTTCAAAACCTCAGTCTTAACAAGCGTCCAAAGAGGAGGTGTTGACGACGCCATGGAGAACGAGGCCCAGTTCACAGCAGCCATGCAGGTCTGTTCATATATTTAAATCCCATTTATTAATATTAGAGTTAAAGAATAGTTTGAATTTTAGCTTTTTTGATTTTAGCATACTCCAAGTTTCATTTGCTTCTCCCCATTTCCTTGTTCTCTGTTTGAAATATCTTTTCAGGCGTTTGGCCAGTCCTTCCTGCAGACAGATATCCACATCTTTAAGCAGAATCTCTCCTATCTGGAGTCTCTGAACAGCAAGCACAAGTTATATCACAGAGTATGTTTAGATTTTCTTCCATTGTTGATTTTTGCATTTTATAGGCGTTTACAATTTCATTTTTTCTAAACTAACTAACCTTAAGTGATTTAGTGTGCAAGAGTCTTCCTCTCATAGTTACAGCTCAGTATAAGTAAGATGAATTTTTAAAATCTAGCTAATATCTTTAATTTCTCCTCTGGTCTCATGACCTAAATTGAACATTTCAGAGTTAGCTACTTCTCATTTTTAATTATCACTCGTGAACATGCACTGTCTTAATCATCTAATTATAATGTTTTTTTAAAATGTGTTCTCTGATTCTTCAGAAGCTTTTCCGGACCTCGATGCTCTTCCACTTCATCAACGTACTCCTGCAGGTCCTCCTCCACAAAAGTCATGACCTCCTGCAGGAGGAAATAACCCTTGCCATTTACAACATGGCTTCCGTTGACTTCGATGCCTTCTACTCGGCTTTCATGCCAGAGTTTCTGAACGGCTGCCAAGGAGTGGACTCCAATCAACGGGCCGTTCTCGCACGCAACTTCAAGCTTGAACAGGTTAGGGTTGATGGTTTTCCTCCACCCATTCATTAACTTTGATGTTTTTTATGGATTTTTCCACATTGTTTTAGAAAATGATAAAATCACATCTTTAAGAAAACACTTGAAAAAACTCAAAAGGAACCATCTTTAAGATGGTTACATTATTACTTAAACAATGATCAGAAGCACTGAGCACCTCAAGTCTTTATTCCTGATAGCTCTAGTGACAAGACTCATTCAGTAAACCGTCACAGCGGCAGCTCTGAGCTGTTGCTTCATACAGAGCCTCCCCCTCGTTCATCATTGATATTTGCACACAAAGAAATCCTGACATGTTTCCTACGTGAAAATGAACTCAGAATAAATACTTGTATCCCTTAAATTTTTTCACATTTTGGCCCTTATCAGGCAAAAACCTCACTCTGTTTTATTCCAATTTTATTTAATAGACAAAGTAGAACATAATGATGTGAAATGACAGTTAAATTAAAAACCTTTCCTTGTAATTATAGCTACAGGCCCTTCATAGCACGTCTCATATGTACATTGCATATCTAAATTAGGCAGATAGCTAAAGCACACCTTAGTTTTTGAATCTTGCTATAAAATCTTTAATAGGTGTAGATTTTAACTTTAATTGGACATTATTGTGCTTTCATCTAAACAAACCCATTGCAGCTGCCTATTCTATTGCTTTAATTTAAACTCCCCCCATGCATCCACTGCCTGGTTTAATGCTCTGCTGGAAGATATTTCAAAAGACACCCATGGTGAGAAATGCATACTGAACAGGAATTTAATGAATTATTTGTAGCTTCCTTGTTGCAGGTACTGCAGCTTTATGTAACTATTAAAAAGCAGTTCTGTTTATATTGACAAATAATTGGGCTGTTTTTCTCTGGGTTCTGTTCAATCAAAGTACATTAGGAGCTAATTAAATAGCAAATTTACATCCCAGTTTGTCACCTCACCAGTTAAAGGTTTTCACACTGTTTAGTCTGCAGCTCCTCCTTGGTTCTTTGCTTTCTAATTCTAATTGAAAACACAAATTAAAAACATAAATTCATTGTTTTTCATTATTTGTTTAAAAGCAAGATACATGTTAAAATTTGTCTCAACCTCAGTGATCTTGCTCTTTTAACAGGAAAACAGTCCTTATATGCATAAAATACTGTTTTGTTGATGTGATCCCACTTGCATCTGACAATCATTTGTTTTCCACCTTTATTTCAGGACCTGCCGTCATTCACTCAAAGTGTGCAGAGACTGGTGAATGACCTCCGCTACTATAGACTGTGTAATAGTAGTTTGCCCACTGGCACCATCAAGCTATAGCACAACTGCTTGAACCACTCCACATGTCGGCTGTGATCTTCTAAGACTGCCTATGCTGAACACTCTGCCCGTCACTCCTCCACTTCAGCTTGGCTCCACTCAAAGCAACTGCAAGGAGCAAAACACACATTTCTTGGTTGAGTAATGGGAGAGTGAGCATGCTGCTGATAACGGTCTTTAATGAATGAATGAATGAATCCTACTGTAAAAGGTTGGCACGTTGGTATGTTTCTTGGTGTCCTCCTTAGTGTCTTGCCAATTTGGTGAGGAAATGTAAACCTGGTCTGCAGTCTGCATCTGTCCAGACCCGGAGCTGTCTGAGCCAGGCCTTCTCTCCCATTCTGCCTCAACAAAGCTGGGCTGGGACTGAGCACTTTCAACTCATTTTGAGTTTTTTATTGTCTGCTAATATTCGTTTTGCCTTTTTCATCTCCAAAGGAGACAGAATCTCAACTTAAGATCTTTCATATCATTCCATTCTGAAAACGTGAAAACTGCTTGATTAATAAATTGCTTTTTTTTTAAATACAGTTTGTATTTGCCTTTTCTGTTTGTCTGTTATTGCGATACTGGCTGTGTTTTTGTAAATATCAGAAATCAGGAAAAGTATTAACACACTGACTTAGTTTAAATTCATTCTTTAAAAAAATGTTTACTCAAGAGGAGTTTTATATGTGGAATATTTCCCATGTTTCTGCATTTAAACCACCAGAAAATATGTTCTCAACCATTGGGGAAAAATGTGCAGCCTCAAGAAAATAACAGCAACGCCTTTTTCAGCATCTGACTTGGCATACCGTATGTTACTTCATCTCCAGCTAATGCTCTGTAATTGTGAGAAGGCATACTGATTGACATGATGAAAATAATCCCGTTTTACTGATCAGATCAATGACTTTTTTGGTAGAAATGATGTTTCCGCCTGATAAATCATGCACTTTAGTATGTTGTATAGTATTTTAGTGTAGTATGGTAAAACCAACCGATATGCTGCTGATTCTGAGCTGTTAAATCATCGGGTTAAAGGAGGAATAATGGTGTGAATTTCCATCTGGATGGTTTTACATTCTGTGAAATAAATCAGCTCGAACATGATGAAAAACAGTGAGTACATTAAAAAGGTAAAGATGCTTGTGTCAATCATACATATTAACTAATAAGACATTGCAGTCTTTTTAAAAAAGGTGCCGCTCTGGTCGCAGTTTTTCAGAGAACAGGAAGCAAGAGAATTTATCCTGGAGAAACTCCTTATCATGGGGGAAGTAACATCCTCTATCCTGATGCTGTAGGAATATTTCCCAACTTTGTTCTAAATAGACGTCAAGGAAAATGGGAGTGCACCAAGAGAAATCCTAAAAATATAAGACAAATGTATATAGTTAATGATAACCAAACTTAATGTTAGGGAAACTGTAAAATTATCTCAGCATTCAGTATTTATAATGTTTAATAAAAGGATTAAAAGGGAAATTAAAGGCATGTAAAATAGTTCCAGGGTTAGTGTGCACAAGAATTATTAAGTAGTCCTTTTTTTTTTTTTTATGCGGTTTTAAAAACAAAGCTGGTTCCACAGGATCTGCTCTGCCTTTTCTTCTCAACAAGGAAGTTTTTGCCTGTGAACTTTTTTAGAAAAAAGATCTTAATTATAGGCAGTGACAATAATAGCTTCATATAAAACCTGGATTCTTTCTGCTCTCTGTGGGTGATCAACCTCTTGCCCCCTTTATAGAAATGTCTAGATGGGACTTTATTAAAACAGCAGAGCAGCATTGGGGGATAAAAGAGGCTGGGCTCAACTCTAGTTGTTACTTGACCGGTTATTCTGCTTTATATGTTCCTTTTCAGATTAGTGTTTATTTGCATAAGGTCTGTAGTCCTAAACGCGGAGCCTCCTGAAGTGAACGATCAATGATTGATTCAAACTTATCAGGACATTTTTAATTAGTGGCTGCAAAGAGAAAAGGCGTTTTTGGATGAAGATAGGGTTTACTTTAAATAGAGTCGTTTATGTGCGTAAATTATATCTTATTTTCTGTGAATACTAAAAAAAAAAAAAGGGAAGTAGGGGGGGTCTGGCATGAGTGGAGTTAAATATTCAGTGTGAATGAGTGGAGCCGGACAGTGGGGGATGACTATAGAGGAGGGTGGACTTCTTCAGTCTGACTAAAGGCGCACGGTCATGTTGCAGCGCAGGGTTTTCCACGCAGCTCTTAAACACCTTTTCACAGGGACCCAGGAGCCCCATAAAAGTCTGCAATGCGGGCTCCTCTGGGGACACAGGGTGGTCTGGCACAGGAGCAAATCAAGTAAGTGAAGAAGTTTCATTTTCTGACGAAGTTGAAGATTGAATGATGCGATAAGTTTTGGTTGCATTTCCGTAAATTCAATTTTTCGCCCCTTTTTCCATCATAAATGATCCAGTAATGTGTTTTTCTTTTTACATTTGAATGAAAGAAGCGGAGGTCTGAGCAGAGTTCAATCGAGTCTGAGACTTTAACCCCGAAGCGCAAAGTTTCCCCCCCAAACCCAACAACAATATTTGACAACAAACGCGCCGGTTCGAGGGCGCGCGCTCATGACACGCGGCTTTTAAAAAATGCTCAAAGATGCGCGATTTTTTGATAAATGCAGGGGGACCCTGGCAGCGACCCGAACCATTCTGGATTCAAACTTGCAACCGGTCAGCTAATACTGTACGTCATTCTTCACGTCCTGTGTGACGTGAGGCTCCACCAGTGGCTGCGGGTCTCGTGCGTATTTAATGGATTGCATGCAGTCCTTCATGTGCTCCTGGTGTTGTGGCCCATATCTGGTGTCTGTGAAGTAAAACCGAACTGGTTTAAAACATGTTCCAACATGTGTGAACACCCACGGAGAATAAACACAAGGTGTGTTTATTAAACACTAGTATTTATTAAAATAAAAGTATTTGCACCCTGGAAGAGATCTACTCTCTTTGGCTTTTGTTGTCAAAATAAAAGTTTTAGATCATATAATGTTAACATGAACCTATGTGAATCTGAACATACAACAACTTCTGTTTTCAAGTGGCCTGACTAGTATTTTTGCATTTCTTTGCAGGAGTTAAGCCCCACTCCTGTCTGCAGAAGGAAAATACCTCAGCATCTTAATCAGACATAAATCTAGACTTAGATTAGGCCTCTTCAAAACCTTAGCTTTGGGTTTTCTTTATTTCATCAGGTGGACTTGCTTATCATCGTTGAATTGCTCTAAACCTTGCTGGACTCCAGCATATGGTCCCAAACTGGTGGCCGGACATTCTCCTCCATGAACGTCTGGCTGTTTTTGTGAGATAACTTCTCTGATAAGCTGTCCTGGTTTCAAATGATCATATGCACTTCAAATAAGTTCACTTTTATCTCAGGCTCTTTTTTTTTCTTCCCCAAAAATATTGTGAATCATTCAGATTATTTTTGGCAAAATGAAATTGCCTTTTAGGTTTTAGTCAAAATTAGTCTTTGCCTTTGGATTTTGCATTGAGGTCACTTTAAAGAGCTCCATAATAAGGCAACTGAGGCTTATAGTGCTTAAGATGGTTTAGTTTTTGGGATCCCATCAATATGCTCTGGGAAGATTGTTGAATTATCCAGCCACTTCTGGACCGGTTCATTGTTGCTCCAGGTTTTCTCCATGTGTTGATAATGAGTCACTGGTAATTGAAGGAAACCCAAAGCCTTGAAACTGGCTATTTAAGCTTTTCTAGACAAATACACTACCTGTGACTTAGTTTTTTATCTGTTGCTTCTTGAGGACTTTCAACCTACTTCATGTTGTCAGACAGGTTCAGTTTAGTAATTTCTTAATTCTTCTGGTTAATAATTAATTTGACTGAGCTGTGGCTTGTAAAACTGAATTCCCAAAAATGTAAGTAATCACAATCAATTCACAATTTAACATTTTCTCCCTCAGAGTGTTGGTCATTAAAATCAAAGAATTGTGGGACTTGCTCAGAGAACGAAATAAAGTTCAAAATCTAGCACATAGGATTTGAAGAGGGGCCCTTTTAAGTGTTTTCAGTATAGTTTAAAAAATAAAGATTCATAAAGAAAGTGTGAAGATGCACGTGAGTTTCAAAGTTACAGCTTCTCATGCAGCACGGGCTGCAGAGTCAATGTGTTGCAGAGGAAAGCATTCATTATTTTACCTAAATGAACAGCAATTTCACGCTGTTAAGTAGAGCATTTGTACTTTCCAGTAAAGCACTTATTAAGAACCTCTTTGACTTTCAATAACATGGAACTAGAAAATACCTAGCAATGAATTTTAGTTGACTTTGCACTGGCGAAAGAAAAGAACCATAGAATTTAGATAATCATTAGTCGTCTTCCCTGTGGATAACTATTACTTCCACCAACATGTATGCATTTGAGCTGTATATTAACTCCTGCATTCTCTCCTGTCACTGCAGGTCTCTCTGATGTGAAGGAGCGGACTCTCATTGCCATAAAGCCAGATGGAGTTCAGCGTCGTCTCGTCGGACAGATAATCCAGCGGTTCGAGCAGAGAGGGTTCAAGTTGGTCGGGCTGAAGATGCTTCAGGTACCTGAGCTGCTTTGACTCTGAGTGAAGAAAACAACCTCCTTTGAGTTCTAACTGCAGCTGAATTTGCTCTGAAGGCATCACAGGACATCCTGTCTGAGCACTACTGTGACCTGAGGACCAAGCCTTTCTATAGCAGTCTGCTGCGCTACATGTCCTCAGGACCTCTAGTTGTGATGGTGAGGGCTTCCCCCTTTCTCTGCCTGGTTTTTGGCTGCTCTTAGTTTTTAAATTGTGTTTTCTTTATCTTGCACTTGCTTATCTGTTTGCTGCAATGCATGTGTGGCGCTTTATCTATGTTTAGGTGTGGGAAGGGCACAACGTCGTTCAGACATCACGAACCATGGTGGGAAGCACTAATCCAGCTGAGGCGCAGGCAGGAACCGTCAGAGGAGATTTCAGCATTCATGTCAGCAGGTATACTTTTGTCTTATCATTTAGTTCAGGTTTTGTGGCATTTTGCTAAATCATTCATGCCCCCTTGAATTAAAAAAAAAAAAGTTTGGGGACTATTTATTTAAGAAGTTAACTGTGTAAAATTGCAAGATTCAGGAACACTAAGAAGGCTTTGAACATTTTTATGAAGAAGAATTTGAAAAGTGTGCAGTGTGTGCATGGTCCCCTTTATTCTGATTGCCCTAAATTAAATCTAGCTGAAGTGCTTTATTTAATCTCCTAACAGAAGCTGTTTGATGAAGGCATTAAAGTGAATTAACAAATGGAGCTTTAAAACTCAAAACAACCCAAGTTCTGATCCTCTCACAGTGCACTGCTCAATTCCTCATAGGAATATGAGCTGACCAATGAAGCAGGCTGCTGTCCTGCAGGTTTAAGACGTTTCCCTGCTCTAGCAGAGCTGGTTTTCATTGATGACTGATGATGAACAAGC